GAGACAGAATAGAATTTTGTCAAATGTCAAAAGTAAAAAATGTGTTAGGACTTACCTTTAAATGCAGGTGTGACTGGGCTTTTACACATGATGATGTGTATGACACAGATCCCGTCCTCTCTCTGCTAACACCCAGATCAGTCAGTAGACACGGCCACTGTGTTTGTCTAATACAGCCACGCCACTGGTGCACGCTTCAATATAGGCTTTTCTTTTGCTCTCCTGTTAGCCTCTCCTGCAGGTATTAATTATGTGTTTCAATTAGCAGTGAGTGCTGCTGCTGTCTGAGGGGACCAATTGTTCTGCTTCAACACATTATGATTAAAGCCAAAAATGATAATGGTGTGTGTTTGTGTCTTAGGGGTGTGTGTATTTAAGTGGGTGTGTATGAATGTGAATGCTAAATAGCTAGGAAATGTCAATTATCTTTGCTAGTATTTTAATGACAGACCTAACATGAAAGAAGTATTCTTTATATGCAGTGATGTACAGGTTTTCTGCATTGTTCCTGAAATAAAATAATCTGAACTTAAATCATATTTGCTGTTTGGTGACTAAATATTCCATTGTATCCACAGGAAATATCCACAGTGACGACAAAGAAAACATTTTGTCAGCTCAGTTGGAGAGGCAGGAGCATGAAGAGGTGAAAAATATAAATATAAGCTTGCTTTATTTGTCATTTTTTTGCTTGTTTACTTTTACATTATGTTCTCCTTATTGATTCTTTGAAGTCGTTTCTTTCAGATATCCAAAGTCAAGAAGATTGTGTTGGTGGTGTTCCTACTGGGAAATACAGCATTGCTGGCTGCATTTATAAAAGCTATTAAAAGTGTTTAATCATCTCAAATGACTATCTATGATAATGTCTTGTAATTGATGTATATGGAGTATATCTTTCTGTTAGTCAAGGATGCTTTGTATTCACTGTCCACATCACTATACTAGTTCATTTCAAAAGTAGAGCCCTGGCCTATCACACTATCATGTGTATGCAGTGGCAATATCCACATCTGTTCTTATCCTAATAAACCTAGATTTTGGTTGAATTAGCCCATTTGATTGGTCATTCTGGTGTCAGGAAACTTGGGTCTTATTTCACCCCCTTCTCATTCTCAAGGCGTCAAATACGGTTACTTTGTCACACCACTCTGCGTCTAACACTGAAGCACAGGGCACCCTCTGTGCTGGGCTGGCACTGGGCTTTAAAGTAACTAGACTGGAAACCCGTCCGCGTCACTGTTAGACGCTCAAAGAAAGTCTCTGGGAGTGTGATGTTCAGGTCTCAAAGTCTTGTTGAGTTATTTTGAAGTTGCATGTTTCTGTAAATATGTTACCTTGTTTACATAAGCTTTCATACTTTCGTAACAAGTGTTTTTGTTTGAATTCACAACCTTAACCACCTGTTTACTGCGACTGTAGTGGAGCATCATAGTTTGACGGTCTGGGCTACCCAGTGCGTTAGAAACTGACGCCAATGTGTCTGACCAAGCGTCAGTATGCAATGAGTTAGGATGAGAACGTGTTTATTTTTGTAGTTTTGTCTATCCTTCCTATTCATAATAACTCTTGAGATCTGACAAATCTTTTCTGTGTTTAAAACATTGAAAATAAGTAGCGCTGGGCAACGATTAAAATATTTAATCGCGATTAATCGCATTGTTATGACAAAGTTCAATAATGAATTCAAAAGTAGTGTATTGCGCACTTTAATTTTAAAAGTACTGCTATATGAACAAAAGGGCAATAACATTTGGTTTGCAAACACTTATTAAAACAAATAAGGTGCTTTTTAACAGCAGTATTCCCTTTACACATTAGCGATCATATTTCTTATATTATATCATTCTTATATCATATGTATATTTTCCCTTTAACTCACGAGATGCAGGTAGCATGTTTTATACTTAATGTGAATATAATTCATACTTTGTTGGCATCTTATTCTGAAAACCGGATGTTCGTCTGAAGAAACCGGATGTTGTCTCACGCTAATATTTCCGCTAACTTTCAAAGTCCTTTGCTCGCTCCTGACCTGTGCCGTTTGAATGAGTTTACCATGAATTTCAGCATATAGGTGCACTAAAATGTAAGTGTCTGCTGACTTTACCGCGATGTCCAGTAGTCTCCAGGCAGAGCAACAGCTGGTGCACGTTGTAACGCCGCTTGTCTTGCTTTTGTTTATCAAAACTTCTCCCACAAGCTGCATCAACATAGTTTGCTGAAGACTTCCTCCACGGACTTTCAAAATAAAAAAAATGCGTTAACGCGCTATAAAATAATTGTCGGCGTCAATTAATGAATGAGTTAACGCGATAATAACGCATTAACTTGCCCAGCACTAAAAATAAGTCTAACAGGGCCAGAAACATTTGCCATTTCCATTTAGATAATTCGGCAACTGCCCTTTAGTGCCACCCTCAGGCTAAAATGTTATCTTTGCACACGAGTACACAGGCAGAGCACGCTGCTGTACCCAAAGAAATAAAGCTAGCCAGCATTCTTCTTATACATCTTTTATTGTTGCACTAATCTCTTCTATACTTGCACAAGGAATACAAAGTAAAAAGGCCCTGCATATTAAGTCATACAGAGCCTGTGAAGCCCCCAAAAGCTATGGCAGCAACTTTTCACAGCATGTTTAAACACCAGCAAGCACTCGTGGGATTTGTAAGTTATAATTAAACAATGAAGCATAAAAACATGAAATGTTAAACAATCAAGATCAACAATTAAGGTCAGTTGAATCTCAGGTCAAGAAAGTAAAGAGCTCTGAGAAGCTGCTTTTTCAGAGTGGAAACATCAAAGCTTTGTAAATAATGATAAACATGTCATACCAGTGTTTCTAGTTGAGAAAATCCCTTTTGAAAATATCTTGTCTGTGGTCATAAAATCCACAATAAAGGGAGAGCCACAAAGAAAGTGCTTACAATTAATTCTGCCTACAATTGCCCTGTTACATCCAGATTACAGAAAATGCTGAATGTTGGAAAATAAAGTCAGAATTGGATTTAACATTAACAAGACGTTCATGTACAGTAAGTTTACTGCAGCTTCACTTTATATCTGTGAGCATTCATTTATATTTATATTGTATAAAGAATAAAATACTTTAATACTTACATTTGTGGAAACCCATTTTATCATTTGGAATTTCCAAAGCACTGAAATTTCAGACAATGGACATCTACTTTCCACATACATGTATGTAGTGTCATTGGTTCTCTAGTTTTGAGCGCCGTGACAGCACTGTTCACACATAGTTGTACTTGTTGGATTGTCCTACTGCGGGTAGTGCAGGAACTAGCTCTACTAAATAGTGTAGCGCTAGTTCAGGCTAAACTCAAATGGTTCTGTGTCCTGAAGTATCACTCATGATAAAACAACTAAAAAATTGAATTTACATTTATTCTCACTACTAAATCTAGACATTCCATTTGTGAGTAATGTTATGTGAATGAAATATATTTGTCCAGCGAAATGTATGGTAATAATATATTTTGTATATTGTGCTGATTTTTGCCTTTCCAGCTCACCTCATAATACTACTTTGCAGCAAGAAAAAACGTAGTACGAAAATACAATTAATATACACTGAGCAATGTAGCATTTTTGCTCTATCAAGACATACAATAACATCAAAATATGTTTTCATATCTGATTTACATATATAATGTCAAGAAAGCTTTAGCAAAGAGTGGACTCAACGATACATTTGTTTAACATTCAGACATCTCAGCAAAAAAATTTACTGTCAGTAAATTCTCATCTTTTATATAAAGGGAAGGGTCCCATTTCTTCAAGTTTATCCAAACATAACACTCACATGATGTGTGTGTTGTGAGACTTAATGGTCACTGTTATCATGCCTCCTGTTTGTATTGGCCTTGAAGCAATCTCTTCATAGGGAGAAGACACTGTAAAGGATGGGATTCAATACCATAAAAATCCATTCTAATGTTCAGCTGAAGCCAATATGAGGTTAGTCTATTCTGGTCTGTGTTTCCTCTCTGAGCTGCAGCAGAGGAATACTTCTGAAGTCCGCAGTTGCTGGCAGATTTGTAAAGTATGTGTTCCCCATCACATCGTGGTTCCCCTTACCTTATGGCTGCACTAATCAATATTTATATTTCCAATGGATCCAATGACTTTGAGTAGTATGAAAGCTATGGCTCGTAGTGGTAAATCCACCGATAATTATCACCAACTCAGCAGTACCCTTTATTTGTACAGAATATTTTAGTATCTTTCAGCTCATTGTTTTACTTTCCTGCCTGCTCCTTTACTGTTCAGTTTCTGCATTCTCATAATTTTTTTTTCCAGCAGCAGGCAACTGTTTCCAATGAAAAAGCATTCAAACATTGAATGACCATTGCATCAAACCACAGTGATACATAATTTAACTCGATATACAGCAATACAGGCAGTATTATATTAGCAACTAGAAAGGTGCACTCAGTAGAGTGCAGATCTCCACCAGGTGTCAGTAACAACCATTGCTGTATTGTGTGATTAAATATATACAACCCACAATTGGCTAATTGGTCTATACACCAATAGGCTTGGTATAAACAAACTTCATTCAAACTCAAAAACATGAATGCAGGTAATCGGCTCGAAGTCATCATATAAAATAGTCACCAAGCTGTCTGCCTGCGTAGTAGCGACTGAGTTGCAGAGAGGTACAGCAGTTTGTGTACTGGTAGTTACAATAGCTGTTAGCAGTTATCCAAATACACCATCCAAAACAATAAAAGTGAGCCAACTAACAACCAGTGCTGTGATGTTACATAACCAATTTAAAACACTTCATTCAAACTGAAATACAAGAGATGATGTATGCAGACAATTGGTAGACGTTGTATAATTCTCAAAGGCTCACACTTACTCACGGATGCATGCATAACCGTGACTGATCGCATGATCCTCCTGGCAAAGATGATGAACCTACACTTGATAGCCCTCTGATTTGTCTGACTCATACTGCCAAAGCCTCATATTAGTTCCAGCTGAACTTGACCACTTTTAATGAACATAATGGCATGTGAGTACTATCCTCATAAATAAGGCCAATTTAATAAAAAAAAATCTTCCACTGGCAGTTTTTTGATATTATGTGCTTCTGGATTGGACCTTTTAAAAAGTTCTTCATTAGGCAAGTGAACATCCACAAGAAGGCATGCATGTTTCAACACGTTAGCATGACACATAAACTGATAACCTGGGTTTGCCTCTCATTTATACATTCTCCACTTGCCACATGTCAAAATATTAATATTGTTCATTCATAATTTGTTTAAAATGGAACCTATGTGTTGGCACTGTCCTTGTCAATACTAGCAGTCTTCCAGCTATAAGATTCAAAAGTGATGAGGAGACAGGTCAGAACTGTATTGATATTTGAAAATAATTCACACCTTCTGGCCAGAATCAAGTGTTATATTTATGTCCATGGTACGGTATAAAATTGTGTGTATGAGTGCTCTATGCACTTTGTCAAAAGTATTGTGGCCACAAATATTGTCATCGTCTTTCTAAATTTGCCAAAAGCATCACAGAAGCATTTAAATTATGTCACTTGATGAAACAAACAATCGGAACACTGTTTTTAACTTGAACAATTATAACATTGACATTGAATCGATGCCTTTATATGGCAAACTGTTGCCTTGGTCCTCTTCAGTCATTTTTTGTAAACTCGCCTGCCTCCCAGCGCAGAGCCATGGAACTCTTGCGTCTTCCTCCTGTGTAGACCTCTGGAAACTGAGAAAGATAGCTGATTTTTTACCTGCTTTCAAAGCACTTCCTCCACCTCCTTCACATCCACCTCCTAAGTATATCAGTGTCAATGTAATGGTAAAGAATTGGTAACATTGCTGGTCGGAGTTACCTTGATACAATTTGTTATTGATAAATACTCAACCCAGTCACCAGAAAAAATGTTGGCATTGTATGATTCTGCAAACAGCAGGATACGCAGAATTTCTATGTTTCGTAACCAAAAAAAAACCCATTTCATATCAGCCTTGTATGTTTCAGAAACGCACAACACATTAACGTTGTGAGATGAGGATTGGTTAGGTTTAGCCATCAAAACTACTTAGTTAAGTTTAGAAAAAAGGTCATGGTTTGTTTTAGAATTATAACAAAACAGCAACTGAAACAACAAACAACCACCCTTAGAACACTTTTTTACTTAACAAGTGTTGTGTGAAACAACATTGCAATAAAACAACATTGCGATAAAACTACATTGCGTAAAAACAACATTACGTCAACAACGTTACATACCACAACGTTACATACCACAACGTTACGTACCACAAAGTCAAATGAAAAGTGTAAATTCAATATTTACTTTTGGTTTAACACGGGACATAAACAGAGGTGAAAGTCAGGTGTTCATTTCACCCATTTACCTGCCCTGTCTTGACTTTCTGGCTTGTTATACTGATTATTATACCATGTAACTTTCACACCACGTAACTTTTAAAAATGCCCAATATACAAGGTAACTTCCTCTGTGGGTCACTCGCTGTACTACGTCACTCGCTGTACTACGTCACTTCCTTAACTGCGCCACTTCCTGTGCTGCGTCACTTCTTGTATTATGTCACTAGCTGTACTACGTCCCTTGCTCTGACCAAATGCAAAAATATCCGCATTCAACGTTTCTGTGGTTTGCAGATTTTTCATTATATCAGCTATATTACAAAACATAAAGCATATTTAATTATTTTCATTGACAATTGTGTCTGTAAAATAAGATTTCCAAAAAGGAAATGTTTGAGCAAGAGCTTACTCTGTGATCACAGGATAAAGCAGAGCGATCCATCCTGTAGGCTGTTTTCATTGGTGATGATGGAGATGACTTGCACTTCACTGGTCCATCAACTATCAACAAAGAACAAAGATGATCATTAGCTGAAATGACATGCACAAAGAGGAAAAAAGTATGTGTACAGTGTATCGTAAATAATGTATTGATCTGTCATCAGTATTTTGCTATCATACCTGAATCGTCAAACGCCAATGTGTCCATGTGATTTGACAATATCCTTTCATTATTGAACCTGTCTTTGCCATACAGATTCGCCCTCTCTTTTCTCAGCTCGTCCTCCCTCTGCTTCACCATCCTAATCTCTTCATCCACCAGTGACATTGTGCTTCTTGAACGCAGCTTGAAAAAGGGGTTCTTCAGGAACATCTTTTCCTGGGGCTGCTCGCAGGCTTTGTTGAGTGAGAACTCGGAGGCACTGCGAATAATCAGATTGGATGTCTCTAGGATGATGAGGTTGGAGCTGTTGTCCTCGGAGCACCACTCACCGCAATGAGCTACCACGTTATCTTTGCCATGTCTTGGGCTGGAGGTGAAATCATTGCTAGGGTCGAGAATGATAACGTTGTTTGCAGATACTTCATGTTTCAGTGGTTCCTTAGTGGGTGAGGAGGTGATGATGAATGAAGGTGTCAGTGGAGTGCTTATTGATCTGGGGATACTTCGTGATGGAGCACAATCAGTTGATTTGCCCATCCTGGAGAGGTCCCTCTCCCTCTTGAAGTTTTCCTCCCTCTCCATTGATATGCGAATCTCCTTTTCAACTGGTGTTTCTGGGTCATCGTAAGGTGACCTGTAACTGGAATCATCCAGGCCAGAATCCTCTGAGCAAGGGCTGAATTGGGTGTGAGGATAATCGCCAACTAGATTCAAATTTTCCAGATCATGTGCTTTCTTTTGAGTTCTTTCAATGTTGCGCACCGGTGTGTACATGAAGCTGTGGCTGCCATGGAAGCTGGGCTGCTTGGCTGTAGGTAAGACCATCTTGTTCATGGTTTGCTCTTCCATTTCCCGCCACTGTTTACGAGCCAGCTGGAAGTCCACATGTTCTGTGCTCACATTCTCACTCTTGGTCTCTTGTATCACACAGAAGTCTTTAGGTAGCTTCTTGATAAAATCTTCATTGATGTGCTTTTGGTGGGTGGTGTGGTTATGATTGGCATCCCTGCCATTTTCACTCTCATCTTCAGAGATTTTGGACAAACCTTGAAGGCTTAAAGGGTTATATTTAACCTCTTGAGGAGAGGATGGGAAAGCAATGTCATCCTCAGGTTGTTCCAGAACTTCTTCCCCTTGGGGAACATCAAAACTGACCTCTTCATACTTGTTATTGTCTTGTTCCTTAAAGTCTGTCACCTCAACTTTCTGCACAAAGAGCTCCTGGGCACTCAGCTGAAGACTGTCCAAATATGAGTCATCATCTTCTTTATTTATAGAAGAAGAGAATATTGATCTCCATTTATCATCTGTCTCACTGTCTGAGGAAGCTGCTGCAATCTCAACTCCCAGGCATTCATACATTTCATCAGGCTCAAGGTCATGGCAGGATTCATTGGAAACATCTGACAGCGCCTCTTCTTTTATACCATCCTCTAATATTGACTCCTCTGTAATGGATGGTTCAAAAAGAGTTTCATGGGTCTCTGGGTCTTCCTCTGTGTATATTGCCCTATTTTGATAACCATCATATTCGAGACCAAGCACATTTTCCTCAGGCTCTGGCTCAGGGTATTGCTCAGGCTCAGGGTACTGGGGTGGTTCAAGGTATTGTTCTGACTTAGGGTAGTGTGCCAGCTCAAGATCTTCCTCTTGCTCATGGTATTGCTCTAGTTCAGGGTCTTGCTCTGGCTCATGGTATTGCTCTAGTTCAGGGTCTAGCTCTGGCTCAAAGTAATGCTCTGGTTCAGAGTATTGCTCTGGTTCAGGGTTTTGCTCTGGCTTGGGATATTGCTCTGGTTCCGGATACTGCTCTTGCTCAGGGCATTGTTCTTGCTCAGCATCTTGTTCTGATATATCCTGCCTCTTACGATGGTCCTCATTCTCATAAACACTATCTGCACTGGAGAGTGTGTCTGACACAGATGAGGTGATTGACTCATTCCTGTTGAGCTCGTCATGCCATAAATCTAATATCAGAGCTTCCTTTTGATCCTGACAAGGCATTTCAGTGCAAACACTGGTCTCAGAGCAGTCGGGCTTGTCAATCTCAACTGTGCCGCTTGGCAGTTCAGTTAACATTTTGCCGAGCATCACTGTTTTGTCTTGGAAATTTGATGAATCGGTCTCTAAACAAACTTGTTCATCATCTGCACTGAAATTCTTCCCCTGCACAGGTGAATCAGCCACAGTGACCTCCACTTCACGGTCCATTGCCAGCTCTGATTGTTCAGTGGTTTCCATAGTGACGGAGAAGGAGCTGTGATTCTCATTTATGCTGCAACCTTCGTTCAAATCTTTTCCATCTGCCTCGGCATCCACCAAGGTAGCTTTCTGAGTAGAGAGACAAAAAGTGAAATCAAAAGCTGCATTACTTCACCCTGGGATTGTTTGCAGTCTACTTAACCTTGTATTCCTCTACTGTCTTCCTGTGTTGAAAATGTCTTTCAATTTCTCTAATGACAAATCAATTATTAAGTTATTATATAATAAGCAAAATACATTATCATGTATGAATGACAAGCCAGGACTTTTATTAAGAATTGTTTTCAATATTGTACTTCATGTAAACACAGCACAGAGGAATCAATCTACTATGACTTGATTATATGTACATCTATTGCAAAACAAATACAGAAGAAACACTATTGTGATATCAGACTGAAGATTTTATTTGTTGCGATAATGATTTATGTCAATACAGAACTCATCACACTGATCATCATCTGCATTGTATTCATCAACAACATAGATAACAACACTGGTCCGGCTCAATAACACAGGATGTTATTGTGAATGTAATCACACCAAAGTGACTTTGGCAAATCCTACTGAACAAGTCCTAAAGTGCAATAAGCACACTAAAGTTGTTCATGGATAACACTTAAATGTTCTGTGCCTGTGCCAGTCGGAAAAACACTTTCTGATGTTTCTGCGGAGGGATGGGGGGTGGCGATGATGACAGTGGAGGTGTGTACATGTTTTTTGGGGGGGGGGGGGGGTATCTGCTGTTTGTGCTTGCCGTTGCTGTGCTGAGTGAATGTTTCCCTAAGTGGGTTACGTGCAGAAAAAGAGGAAGCACATCAATAGCAGCACATCAATAGCAGCTGAATTAGATGGCATTATATCTGTTCTTATGTAAGACTGCAGGGCTGAGTCTGCCTCCCACACACTGCTGGAGTGTCCCTGCAAGATGATTGGCTGAGCCCCACACTCCCTGTGTTCACAATTGCACACACATACTCATAGACATTTTAATTACTATTCATGTCACTGTGAAGACCATCCCTTTCTATATTTATACTATATTGTATAGATTTCGCCCTCTAAGAGCTGTTGCTATTGGGTTTATACCCTGCGTAGTCATTTTCTGGGAATTATATTATTCCCCTCTTCTGCTGACCAATTGACCCTAATAGCCAGAGTCAGTTGTTGCTCAGAAACAGTAGCTACTAGACGATAGGTGCCCCTCTCATAACTCCTGAGCATCTGGTAATTCAGTGCATCAGGAGTTGCGTAACTGTAGATTAACTGAGATGCCTTGTCTCCCTTTTGGGAGTTGGAATCTGGCAGGAGCGTGTTTGGTTATTAGCAAGTATGAAAACTAAATCATTGATATCAATAAAGGTATTAATATGAATAGGATTATTAAAATACAATATATTAACAATAACAGGGCACCACCCTGAGATCAGGGACAAATAACCAAGCTATAAGTTAAGTCTCATAATTTGTGTTCACTCACAATGTCAATAGTCTAAGTACTATTTCACATTCAGTGAACAATGAAGGTTTAAATGTGAGCACAGGCACAATACCTGTGACAAAAGGGATTTGCTCATCGGAAGTTAAAGGAATTTCTCTCTTCTACGACCCTCAAATGTTAACTTGAATAGGAAGAGTGTGGGGCTTAGAAGTTATCATTCTCTTCCTCTGAAGAATACAGGGATTCTGTGAATCTTCCTTCCGCAAGTTAAAGTAGCGGAGCACAGGACAAGTTATCCGTTTTCACCTTCAGGATCCAAGAACAGTCTATTGTTCGACCAGCAAAGTTAAGATTATCACCTAGAGTTTTTCTTTAAAAGCAGCATTGTTTCTGCCTGCTTTCATCCAAATCGAGTCGGACGGGACGGCACAGAGTCAAGGTGAGCAGTGATTTATATAGTCTTGGTGATGTCATGGCTGTGTTACAGGGATTTCCTGTGGCCTCATCCAATGAGGCACCAGTGTTTGGTTTGACCCAAATCTCATACATAACTGGTGCGGTTAAACCACTTTAGACTTTTGAAATGCCAGGTAGGCCTCTCCTTTGTTTCAGCCACATGGGGAAGTTCCAACATGGGTTATTTGTGCCCACTCACGGATAAGGCCATGGAGCTCCAAGATATACTCCTCCAGCGGCTGCGGCCCAGCAGCTCTGTGGATGGGCTGTCCGCCGTAACACGCCCCCATATACAATGCAGTCAGTGGAACTGGTGGGATATGGGGAACGTGTGTCTCATTCCAGCTGAGTAACGGAAACACAACGGCCCATTTCAGAGCCACCCACTTTCTATTAAGAGTGTTGTTGAATGTTTGTTTGATAAGTTCACTGTTACTGTGTATTGTGTATTTTACGGACCGCCGAGTCTTGTTCAGTGCCTTGAACATAATTGTTGTGCTTGCTGCCGTATATTATAGGGTTGTCCCACACCACTGTGCTTTGTTTGTGTTTAAATCAGCCACTGCGAGTAAAGTTGGTAAACTATCCTGTCAGATAAAGAACCACTGCCTTGGCTGCCGAACCTGATTTCACCAGTCGGGCTCCTGTGTGATAAAACTACAGTTAATGTACTTTACTCCAGCAGGGAGGATCCTCTTTGCCTTTCTTTGAGGGCTTTCCTTTCTTTCCTAAATAACCCCGCCACACATACATACACACGTTGTGTGTTAAGCACAACACATTGACATGGATCGAGCACCTTCCATCAACGTTTGCTAATGAAGTAGAATCTTCTACAACTTCCTCATAAAATATACATACACCCCTCCACAGGGGCGACTGTGGCTCAGTGTTAGAGCCAATCAGAGGATCAGCAGTTCGATCCCTGGCTCCGCTAGTCCCTGTTGATGTGTCCTTGAGCAAGACACTTAACCCCAAATTGCTCCCGTAGACTGTTGACTAGAGTTTATGAATGGGTTGGACGGATTAGATAGTCCTGATGGGCAGTTGGCACCTCCCATTATAGCCCCTGCTATCAGTGTATGACTGGGTGTGAATGGGTGAATGATGACATGTAGTGTTAAAGCACTTTGAGCGGTTGGATGATAAAAAAGTGCTATACAAGTACAACTCCATTTACCATTTATCCTACACTACATACTATAACATAAATCAACATCGCTCTGTGCAACGACAGGGTCAGGCCACATAGACCTGTACCAACTACAGGCTTATGAAGACCCTTGTACGTACAAAGTAAAAACCACTTTACACATGCACAATAATAACTTTTCGGGATATTTACTGTGAAGAATTTATAGTAATGTGATTAAATGTGATTATCCACAGCTTCTCCTCCTGACCATGAGATGTATCAGAATTTAAACCCGCCATGTCAAATTCCTTGAATGTGCAACATACCTTGGCAAATAAACGGTTCTGATTCTGATCACTATTCGATCAGGCAGGTTGGATTTAGGTGTTAAGTGTGGACACACATGTGGACACAGCTGAGTTCCGATCTGAAGCATCCCATAACACAAGTTGCAACACAAGTTGTATTGAAAAGATGTGTACCCAAAGCTGACTGTGGAATTCTGGGGTAATTTGAAGAATATTCTGTGATCAACACAAACATTGGATATTTGTATTTTGTACTTATGTTACTGTCCCACTCTGTGAAGGCTCTGGTTGAATCTACCTCACCCTGCAGCAGAGGTCACATGCTCCTGCTGCCAAGTGTCGAGGCAGCAGCTCACCAGGGCCATGGGGCTCTTTTCACTCCCAAGCTGAGAGTATTTAACAGGATACCCACGGCTGATGACTCCAAAAATCAAATATTGCCACCTCCCATTCACTCTCCACCAAGTTTCTAACCCTTTTTCCATCCTCTCCATCTCTCTTTAGAACAGTCACAGTAGGCACATTCCTTTCATCAAGCTAACTCCCATATAATGTTACCAAGCAGAGTCTCACCAGAGTCTAAAATCGGACAGTCTGGCAGTTGCGATAATGCTTAAATCTCCCACAAATCAATAAAATTATCTTAGTGTGTGAATTCCTCTGCCAGGATAAAACAGCACATAATGTACCACTCTCTGCTTAGACTGAATCTGCAGCTGTACAGCAGCATTAGGCAATATTTGAATGTGAAAAACATCCATTGTTTCAGCTTTTTTTCAATCTTATTCTCTACTGATAATAAAGCCATAGATTCACGTTTTTTTAACCACATATAATTTAGGGGTCAGTGCAGTAACTGGTGGGGAATATCCAGACAGGAAATGATAAGGATATTGAGTTTCTTCTCTCTGCCCTTTTCAGACCCAAATACATCCAATGAAAAATTCCTGACAGCATACACTGTATATTATGTCCTTATCCTCAATATTTGCCTGTTTAAACATTCACAACAAACAGTGAAAATCATCCCCTTCCCCTTTTGTTACAGTCTCAAAGTTAAGGTTGGTAATCTTGAGTAACTAGCAAGTATGCAAAATTTTGAAAATTATCCGACTGAAAAACCCAGCCCAGTGTTCTATTCCAAGGATGATGATTGGACGGGTTTAATACAGACCTGCGACAGCCACAGATTTATTGACTGCTGCTGATTGCTGTAACAAATGTAATAAAAACATGTCTTTGAAGAAGACAAAGCTAAGCTTTAGATTGATGACACAACAAATACAAAGAGCAGCCTGATGAATAGCAGCGGTTCATAAAGAGGTGCGTGTTTGTGTTGTCATCACTGGCATAATAAATAGCCCTTTAAGTTCCATGGAAAAATGTTTCATCCACAAACGTTTTATTAAACAAAGACTAGAAATAAGAATCTGAAATCAGCAGACACAAAGATACCAAGTTTAGCAGAGTCAGTAGTCATATTAGTGGATCCGAAACAATTATTATTTTGGATTATTATATTATATATTTTGTTCTATATGATGAAACATGACTCAGCATTTCAATGTTGTTTTTTTTTCATCTCAAATGTATTCAGAAACAGATTTGGGTTGATTAATGAACATGATAAAATTATCACACACACAGACCACAGTATGGTCAGTTTCCTGCTCAAGAGACCAGTGAAACTATTTTTCCATTTATTTTCATCCACAACTGCCCAGGCACA